AAAAAAAAAAAAAGAGAGAGAGAGATGTTAAGTTTGAGATATTCAAGTGAGAATATGAGTCTGGAACTCAAGGGAGAGAGTTGGGTTAGAGGTGTAAACTTGGGAGGCATCAGCATATAGATAATATAGAGAAAGAGAATATGGATAGAGAAGAGGAAGGGGCCTAGATTCAGGCTCTGGAGCATGTCACCAGGGGCCAGTTAGAGAAGGAGGAGCAGCATGGGAGACTGAGAAGATGCCTTCTATGAGTTAGAAAAATACAAGAAGAATGTGCTTCTGGAAGGTTGGCAAGTGCTGCTGAGGCCAGGAAAGTAGACAGTGGTGTGACTGTCAGATCTGGCTAAGGTCATTTTAGATATGAATTAAGTGGTCAACGAGGCAGTTGGAATCAGGAATTCTGGAGAGAAATCAAGGCTGAGCCAGTAGTCATTTGGACACAGCAGGTATTTAAAGCCTCTGGGACTGGATAGAGGTCACCTGAGGAAAGAAAGTACTGGGAAAAGAGTGCCCAGACCCATGCCCTTGAGTCACTATAGGGTTTCAGGACCAGATAAAGGAGGATGCAACAAGGTACAGAAGAGCTTATAAGGAAGAACCAGTGACTACACTGCCAAGTGGAGTAGAAAAACCAGTTTTAGAGAAGGCAGATCAGAGAGTAGGGTGCTTCTTTATTGTCTTATCCCGAGATTACTGTGGTAGCATCATCCCTTGTCTTCTCTTTTTTTTTTTTGAGACAGAGTCTCACTCTTTCACCCTGGGTAGAGTGCTGTGGTGTCATCATAGCTCACATCAATCTCAAACCCTTAGGCTCAAGTGATTCTCTTGCCTCAGCCTCCCAAGTAGCTCAGACTACAGGCATGTGCCACCACGCCCGTCTAGTTTTCTATTTTTAATAGAGATGGGAGTCTCACTCTTGCTCAGGCTGGTCTCAAACTCCTCAGTTCAAGCATTCCTCCTGCTATAGCCTTCCAGAGTGCTAGGATTATACACGTGAACCACTGTACCCGGCCTTTCTCCTCTTTCCTTTCACTTTTGCTTTTCCTGTACAGTAAATTACTTATGTACTCTAACTAAATTACTTTCCCTAGCATACCAGTTGCTTTATAATGCTTGGAGATTTGGGTTTTTTTTTTTTTTAAAACAGTCTCACTCTGTTGCCTAAGGCTAGAGTGCTGTGGTGTCAGCCTAGCTTACAGCAACCTTAAACTCCTGGGTTCAAGCAATGATCCTCTTGCCTCACCTCCCCTAAGTAGTGGGAGCTACAGATGCCCACCAAAATGCCCAGATAATTTTTTCTATTTTTAGTAGAGATGGGTCTCCAAATCCTGATCTAAAGTGATCCTCCCACCTCAGCCTCCCAGAGTGTTACAATTATGGGCATGAACCACCACACCCAGCCAAGCTTGAAGTTTTATTTATTTATTTATTTATCTATTTATTTTGAGACAGAATGTCAAGCTGTCACCCTCGGTTGGAGGAGTTGGAGGTTGCTGTGAGGCCATGGCATCAGCTGTCATTGTCACTGGCAACAGCTGTCGTTGTTTGGCGACCCAGGCTGGATTCAAACCCTCC